AGTTTGACTTTTCAGTGTACAGTTGACTTTTGATTAGTTGACTGCAAACTTCATCTGTCAATCCAATGAATTTGAAATGTTTTGAGCTATGTAATTAAGTCAAGATGATGTAATTGAATCCTTGAAATCATGATTTAACTCAATTGGTCATTTGCTAGGTTAAAAATCAGAAATTGCCCTTCCTCAGTCAAAACCCTAATTTTGACCATTTTGCCCTTTTTGTGATTTTTTGACCAAATTTCTTGAGGAATTGTGATCCTAACTTGACCAAATGACACATGTAAGTTTAAAATGTTGATGTGGATCAAAAATTATGAAGTTTGACTGTAAATTGGCCATGGTTGACTTTTTCCCCAATACAGCTGATTTTTAGGTCAACTGTCCAATTGATTGATCAAAAATATGGTTCAAGGCTTGAAACTTGTCATGAGTGATCTTAGAGATCCATAATGATGTTTGAAAGTCATATGAAGCATTGATAGTCCAAAAATCCTTGTGAAAACTCAAATCCTAATTTTGGGTTGCCAGTGCAAGATGAGATGTCTTGAGCTGACCAAACCTTAATCCAGTCTTGAGTCAAAGAGATCTTCTGAGAAAAGTCTTGATAAATGAGAGAGAAAATTTTGGGGTACAACAGATAGTATATTCAATGACCTAACTAACATAACACCTTTTCAAACTCACTCCTACTATTCTTTGTATCATCACAAGTATTCCAAACATAACATAAAAAATTCTACACCACACTTGGTTTGCAGAAAAATTCAAAGAACTTCTACCTACCAACTGAACCTTGTTGTTATGATGTAGAGAATTACTTATTATGCCAAACTCAATTATCATGCACCATTTTTGTGTAACATAAAACATGGAGCATATAATACTTTCGGTCTACATTACTAATATAACACAGTGAATCACTAATGTAACATAACATAATTATACAAAGCATTAACTTATACAATAATGGCCTACAAGAGCCTTTCAAATTTGTCCGAAACAACACAGAATGGTAACCAACATTCATATTTTTAACACCAAAATGCAAATCTAACTTCGAATATATTACAACATTTCTCGATAACTTAAGTCCAAATAGTTAGACTAAAACTAAAACATAAGACATAGATAACCATCAACGAAACTAAAGCAACTACTTCATGCTACTTCCAAAATATATTTCCACTAAGTCAACCTTCAGCCTTCACACTATTATCCATCCACGACCACAGTAGCATTCCATCAACGCCATTCGCGACTTGCATTCCCACGCTCAACTGAAACCAAGATTTCTTTCACGGGAGGATAACGGATGAAAAAATGCAATTTGTCCCCTACCTTCAAATGCCTATCTTTTGCAAAGTCATATCACTCACCTAACAGATACTTGTCCACACTCCTTTCCCTCTTTTTTAACTCGCAATAGTATGGAACAGCTTTTTCGGAGTCGAAAAGTACGATGGATATATTTCCTCCTCGAAGGCATTCCTTGATTACACGTTTGGAAATTTGCTGCACATGCAAACCAACATATAAATAACATTAACATCTAATGATATATTTCTATTCTTACCAATGGAAGCCTACATTACTTACAAGCTCATCTTCTTAGGGTCAGTTACTTCCCTACTCCAGTTTTGTTCATATTGTACCTCATATATAGGGGAAATTTCCTGCAATATTTCAACAAAACAAATTAACTTAGTTAAACCAACTGGGTTACTTTCCAACCTATTATACACCTAAACCTAAGTAACCAGTTACGTAATAATCAAATGACAATTACCTTTCACTATCAGATGATAGCATTATGTAATTATGATCATCAGGGCCTTCCATACCACCCACATAGTCAGACTCCAAAGCTTTTCCCTTGCCTTTTTCACCCCTACCCTCTACGTCATCGCCATTACCCCATACTTTAGTTTTCCCATTCCCATTTTGAGGCACAACCCCAGCATGACTATTGGCCTTGGGTGCCTCTTCACCATCAGTTAACTTCGTCTTGCAATTTTTCACAGATTGCGACTCCTCGAACGCCAGATATGCCATGTCGTTACGCATGTGTTTCTGGGAGAGATCCTGTTCATCCTTTTTAACATGAGGACTGCAAAATGAAATATGTTGACTGGTGAATATGAGACTAAATGATCAACAATCATGCAAAGACAAATTAACCCTAAATCATACGATGATGTAACAAAAACGTATTTGGTTTATAAAACATCATGTTTATGTGTTTATGAATCCCAGAACTACCCTCATCTGTTACTCAGATAAATCAATGGTGTCAAACAACGCATGCAAGTGAATCTTCGTCTCAAATGGACTACGCATACAAATTACACTACATGAGTTAACAGCGACAATAGAAGGCATCTTACCGTGATGGATTCTCTTCGATGTTGGGTACTGTTTTAGAGTTGGAGTGTCCTTCCATTATTACTGAACAAAGAAATAGTTTGCGTATGGTTTCTGAATGGGGATTTTGGAGAATCACTTGTGTTTGGTTTCAAATATTATGATGGAAGAATAAGCAGTATGAGTTGTTTATTTGCTACCTTTAAATGACAATTCACATTTTTCGATTCCCAACCTTATGTACTTAATATGCATAATTGTCGTTTAACTTTTTATTTTTCATATCATTTTAATTTGTTTTATGTACTTAATATGGTTTTTGTTTTATATTTCTCCTCTAAACTAATTAACCAATATTTCTAATTTATATTTATTTGTTATAATAACTGTTCAATTGTATCTATTATTCTCATTCATGTTTTATACGTGGGATAACAATTTTATTTGTAACATTGTTTGTTTTATTTAATTATATCATTATCTTTAAACACTTATTTTGTTTTGCTTTTCCACAATAAAACATATATGTTATCGATTTTAGAAAAAATATGAAATATATATGGTATATCTGGTTCAACCCACACTACAATCTATACGAATGTACGGATTTTTTAGTAGTTCTAACTAAAGAAAAATCCATAATATATATATATATATATATATATATATATATATATATATATATATATATATATATATATATATATATATATATATATATATATATATATATATATATATATATATATATATATATATATATATATATTAAAAGCATTAATTAATAATATAAAAAATTTTAAATTGTTAATTGTTATGTTGGTCCAAAAATGTCACAATCTATGGTCAATTCATGACGAAAATACCATAAAGGTTAGCACATTAAATTATTGTATAAAGTATGACTTATTCATGAATGACGAAATTGCAAAAAGTTTTTGAAGAAAATGATAATATTTAAAGTTTTGTAAGTAGGTTGAAATTTGGCATGATGTGTATGCTGGGACATAGGGCATTGGAGGAATCGTATTTGTTAATCTTCATCATTAATGACAAGAACAAAACATTAGTTACATTTTGTGTTTATGGTTTATTATGGAATTATTTTGAGGGTGAAAAGTGACTTCTCTCCTAGGGTAAAAGATTAGTCATTATTAGACTAAAGTTTATCCAAACTTTGGAGTGAGAAGTGGCTTCTCTCCTAGGGTAAAAGTTAATCCATATTAGGTTAAAGTTAATCCAAATTCAATTTAGGATTTTAATAGTATCCAAACTTTGGAGTGAGAAGTGGCTTCTCTCCTAGGGTAAAAGTTAATCCATATTAGGTTAAAGTTAATCCAAATTCAATTTAGGATTTTAATAGGGAGAGGAGTAATTCATTTGTTTTCTTTTTTAATTTGAGAATTTTATTTTCTGTTTGAGTTAAGAATGTCTTCGACTTTGAGGCGAAGTGTTTTTTTTATGTTTTATAAAGATTGGTGTCATGGTTGTTGCTCTTAATTTGGATAGATCTAGTTTTTGATCGGTTTTTTTGCCATCAATGTGATTCTTGGTTGTATGTTTTCTCATTAAGTTGTGTTTATGTTAGGATTAATTATGCTATGTTATGGTATTCATATTTCGTTTCACCATCCCTCGTAATTATTATTATTATTATTATTATTATTAGCGGTGGTAAACGGACATGTTCGTTCCGTTTAGGTCTGTTCTACAAAAATTCGGGAAAAAAAGATAAGACAAAACGAACATAATATATGGTGTGAAGGTAAAATCTTGATTCATCTCGAAAAAAATAAGAGTAGAGTGGGCATGCATGACGGACGTACCCGAAAGTCTAAAAGATACAAAATTCATGTTAATATCCTTCCCACAAAAACTAGTAAAAATAAAGGTGGAGAGAGCTGAAAATAATAGAGGGTGCAGATCTAAAATCTTGACTCATCTTAAAAAAAAATGTGACAACCTATAAATCAAATTCATTTTATCATCCTACTAGTTACACTTAGCATATTCTCTATTTTTCAATAAATAAATATGAGCCATAGTAAACACCTTCCATGTAGTTATTTTTGTTTTTTACTTTCTTTACTTTCCCTAGAGTAAATCCATTAACTACCAACAAGTTTAATTCATGCAATCATAGTTTATATAAGGTAAAATCCAAAGCTCAAGTGTAAAACTAGTTTAAGCAGTCTAGTTCCTGCTAGTAGCCCATAGGTTTACACCATTCTTGTTTTTGTTGGTGTCTTTACTCATAACACATATAAAGTATGATATCTTAACACTTCCTTTGATGCCAAACAAGATTAGATTAATGGTAATTAAAAGAGATAAACATGTTTAATCATAGAATATAAATGAAATTGTTCTCTTCACACACAAAATCTATGTAGTAGCCTTTGTCCAAGTCAAACAATCTTGCACCAATTACAAAGTGTAAGTATAACTGCCAAATGTTTAGATATAGCATCCAAAATTATAAACAAAGAAATCAATATGACTTATTCAACTTGAAAACTCAACTAGTTAAAACCTTCACTCACTCTCTCCTCACATATAAATACCCTAAACAGACTCTAAAATAAACCAGAAAACCAAAACTTCAAGAATCAGTCTAAGAGGTTAAAAAGGTTGATATAATGGCAAGGAAGAGAAAGGTTTCTGAAGTAGTTGAAGAAGGAAGCATGGTTTGGGATGAAATGATGAAAGAAGCAGCATCACTAGGAGGAGGTAGACGAGTCCGAAAGCGATTCGTCGGTGTTCGACAAAGGCCTTCGGGTAGATGGGTTGCTGAGATTAAAGATACCATTCAAAAGATAAGAGTTTGGTTAGGAACTTTTGACACTGCTGAAGAAGCTGCAAGAGCTTATGATGAGGCTGCATGCTTGCTTCGCGGCGCGAATACTCGCACCAATTTCTGGCCTTGTTCTCAATCTTCAACTACTCCTGCTCTTTCTTCAAAGATCACTAATCTCTTACTCCAAAGACTTAAAGAAAGGAACATGAACATGAACATGAATAACTCTTGTTCTTTGCCGAAATACACTTCCTTGTTGGGGAGTTCTGAGGAGAGTCGGGAGCAACAACGAGTCAACGAGACGGATATACAACAAGTGGAGGAGGCCTATGGAGAAGGATCAAAACATTTCACAATTGATCAATTCACCGATTTTCTCAACGATCACGAAGATTATGGCGCAAGCAACCACGAATTCATCGATAACACTGCTCAATTCGACTACATTTCGAGTAGTTTCGAATCATGTTTAACCGAAAACAATATCTGCAAAGGAAACGAGAACATGAATATCAATATCGAATACGACTCAAAATCAAACAATGTGACACAAACTTCAAGTGGTGATAGCAATTCAGAAGATAGTGAAGAAGAAGGTATTGTTGATGTGCCCGATTTTCGGTTTCTAGACGATATTGCACCAACTAGTTACTACTCACCTTTTGAGATTGCTGAAGAAATGGAAGAGAAAATGGAGACAGAAGATTTTAGTGATGAGCCATCAATGATAAGAGCTGTGATGAAGAGAATGAAATATGAGAGAAAATTTTCAGCTTCTCTTTATGCATTCAATGGAATACCGGAATGCTTGAAGTTGAAACTTGAATCAGGAAACAATAATAATGGAAGAGGATTCATTTCTGAACAATTGAACAATCTTAAGGAATCATGTAGCAAGAACAAGGTTGAGGTGGATGATGACAAAAATGAACAAGTTTCAATGGAGATTCAACAATCTTGTTCATTGTCTAGGAATGATAGTGATCTTGTCCTTTGGAATTCACTTGATCTTCCTCCTATTTGTTTTGTTAACTTACTTGAAAATGGTTCATTTAATTAGTATTCTTAATTTCATTTCTGCTTAATTAATCTATGCTTAATTCATAAGCAATTATATCTAATTTGTAACACTTTGTTTTGTAATATCTAATTTCTAATGAAAGAACACTTTAAAAGTTTTATCAATAAATTTTTATTTTTATTTTTAAATTTATAATGTTGAGTTTTTGTTATTTTTAATTTCAAATGAAACTATTTTCCTTCATTTATTTTGAAATTAAGAAGTATTATTATGTGTCAAAAAGATAGTTTGATCGATGAAATAAGAGATATATAAAGAAAATCAACAGGGATTTAAACTCTCAAAACTAATATAACCACTAACTTATTAATATTTGGCTATTAAAAAACTAAAAACTCTTAGATATTGAACTTGCATTGAAAGAAATATAGTAAATTTCAACAAAAAGTTATCTCATCATCATTGAAATTTTAGAATCTTTAACGAAAACTACTATTATACAATATATATAAATTGAGTCAACAACCTTAATTTATATATTATCAAGTTAAATTAAAATTTTTAAATTATTTATATAATATAATATAATAATATATTTTTATTGAATAACAATGTAGATGATAAGTCATGCATTTTCATTAAACTCTTTTTATTATATGCCATTGATAATGAGATGAATTATTAATAAATATTTTTTATATTATATTCTTCTATCAACAATTATAATTAATTAATAATGTTAATATTTTAGACACATACATATATTGAGGAAGGTTCCTCTAGACTCTATCACAACAAAGTATATGATTTTACTCTAAACTTTTAGTGAAATGTATGATTCCAAAATTAGCTTCCATGTGGCATAAGAGCATTGAACAAAGACATCTTCATTTTGGACAGAATCACCAATTTGTTGATCAAGTCAAACTTATATATATTTAAGATATTTCTTTTTCTAATTATAAAATTCAATTAAAAAACCCTCTAATTAGTCGATCATTGCTAAGAAAGATGAAGCATATTCTGTTATGCTAGCTATTGATTCTACTTATCAGAATATAAAAAAGAACCAACACACTATTCTATAATTCAAATTAACTGAAAATTTATAGCTCCATGTATTTTTCTTAATTATAATATGCCATGTATATTTTTTGGTGATTGAGACCTTTATATTATAAATAATTCAATATTAATGATAATACAATAGGATAATCTTTTTTATAAAAGAAAAAATTGTGGCAATAGTTAATATCAAAGAGATGAATGATATCTTAAAAGAAATTGCATAATCTACTTATGAAATATATATATTTGTTAATAGAGATTATAAAAGTCTATATAAGAAATTTATTTGTAAATTCAATTGATTTTGAAACATCAATTTACAACTTTGAGTATGATTTTTTTTTTTGTGTTTGTGATTTTGTTTATATGTGATTTTGCAACTATCCCATGTGTGAGGTGGGTAGGATCGTGCGTGCTTGATGCGCAAAATAAATGTGTATATGTGAAGTGGTGTTTGACCTCAAAGTCTAAAAAAGAAGTATATTTGGAAATTTTATATTCTAAAAATTGGAAGATTTTCGGAAATTATGTAAGGATGGAGAAATATTTTTAAACACTTTGAAATTGAGTTATTTATGTATTTGAATAATAGGAGATTAAGTCACAAATGGATCGAAATTAAGAAGTGTTCTTATGAATTTATTGAGTTAATTTCATGTAACTCATTTGTATTCTCTTAACGAAGATTTTTTACTGGTAAGAAATTGGAGAACTTCTCTCTCTCTCTCAGAAGATTATTTTGGGTCAAATTGGCTAAACAGTTTTCTTTATGGTGATTCTTTATTTTCATCTTTATTTTTTCTATCGTATGATTTTGTATTGTTTAATTCGGTAGATTAAAATTGTTTGAGTTTTTATATGTGTTGTACTCTAAAATTTGCCCTCTCATTTATCAAGATTTTTCTCACAAGACTTATTGGGCTCAAGACAAGATTAGGGTTTGCTCAGCTCAAGACATCTCATCTTGCACTAATACCCAAAAATTAGGGTTTGAGTTTGCACAAAGATTTTTGGACCACCAATGCTTTATGTGACTTACATACACCATCTTCAACCCCTAAGATTGCTCATACCAAGTTTCAAGCCTTGAATCACATTTTTGCTGAGTCAATTGGACAGTTGACCTAAAAATCAGCTGTATTTGGGAAAAAGTCAACCATGACCAATTTACAGTCAAACTTCATAATTTTTTATCCACAATAACATTTTAGGTTCATAGGTACCATTTGATCAAGTTTGGATCAAAACTCCTCAAAAAATTTGATCAAATCATCAAAAGGGCAAAATGGTCAAAATTAGGGTTTTGACTGAGAAAGGGCAATTTCTGATTTTTAACCTAGCCAATGACCAATTGGGTTCAAGCATGATTTCAATGACTCAATAGCATCATATTGACCTAATCACATGGTTCAAAAGATCTCAAGTACATAGGATTGACAGATGAATTTTGCAGTCAACGGATCAAAAGTCAATTGTACACTAAAAAGTCAAACTTTGACTTTTTGGTCAAAATCAAGTGCCAAGGGTCATAATTCATCAAGATATGTCAAAATATAAAACTTGTTGATCAAGAAAACTAAATTTGCAAATTAGGGTTTTAATTTGAAAAAATTTCATAACTTAGAATTTTTCTAAGTATGGAAATTTTCTTATTTTTTCCCAACTTTCCATAACTTTTTCACCATGATGAAATTGGATTCAAAGAAAACTTATAACATGAAAGTTGTATTCATCCATGAAATCTACAAGTTTGATTCACAAAGTTTTCCCAAAAGATGCTTGGATCTCAAGATATAAATTTGTGAATAGGGGTCCATGAACTAAAAGACTTAGTGAAAATTTGCCCTAATTTAGGCAGGTTTTTGACCCAACTTCATGGGAATTTTTCACCTAGTTACAAGAGGTATCTCAAAATGAATTTCAAAGATTGATTGTAGAGAATGTTGCAAGCTTTCCAAAATATCCAAGAACTCTCCAAGATCATTTGTGGTTAGGGAGAATCGAAGAAGAGAAAATGGCATTTTGTCACTTTTGTTCAAGCCATTTTCACAATGCACCAATTTGCCAATATGATCAAGCATGCTTGTACCTTGCATTACAGGTCCTAAATCCCTTCTACACTCCATAATTGAATGCTATCTTAGTGGTTAATGGCTTTATTTTGACCTTTGGAGCATTGTACAAAGAATAAATCTATAAATGGCATAAAGGGCACAATGCCATTTTGATAAAGCAAGTTTTTCCAACTTTATCCGCCTTGAGCCTTGGACTTGTTCCTTGGATGCAGGATTTTTCCACAGATAACAAGCAACTTGTACCAACTCCCTGCAGCTAGCAAGCAAGCAGTACAAGCATTTTGGCTTAAGTCACTTCAACTTTCTTCAAATGTAAGAAAAGAGGCAAAAGGGATCAGAACTTGTACAACTGCTAGAGAGTGGACTTTGTATCACTCCATACATATTCACAAACATATCTCAAGCTAAGAACACGAATTCAGAGCATCTAAAACTCTCCCAAACACAAAAAACACAAATTTCTGCCCAAACAGGGCAGCTTCTGCAAAACTCTTGCCAACTCAATATTGGCTCGTGCTTTTCTTGATTCAACACTTCAAATACCTTCCATACATCATATCCAAACTATCCAAGCCCTTGTCCTAGTTCTGTAAGCCCTATTTCAGACATCACCATTTTCATTTTGGAAAGTTGCAGCTTGACTTCTACAGGGAGTTTCAGCTATCCACAAGGCAAGCTAAGCATTGGAATAGCTTGAGGGAACTTCAAGGAAGCTCACGCGATCCTCAGGCCTCACTCAAAGTCCCCACATTGCCATATCCAAATCCAGCTGAAGGAGGTATTTTTCAAAACTTTATCTCTCTATTTAAGTATCCTTAAGCCACGATTTGTGAAGCAAAAATATAGTCTCTAGCATGGTGAAGCTGTACATATGCATAGTTGTCATTTATATTAACTGAGCTAAGAGAATTTGAATGTTGAACATGCTGAAAAAATTAGGTCAAGAATTAGGGCAACTAAAACTCTCCCTGATCTTTTAGAGTTAGTTTACAAATTTTATATCATTAGAATCGTGAGTTTACAAGCTACGTGTTTTATGTTATGAGTTTTTGATTTTATGCAAGCTAGAGCAAGATACAGGTTTGAAGCAAAAACGTGCGCGTTTGGGAGAGGCTGGAGGACAAGGATGAAGTCCTGGGCCTGGCGCGCCCTGGGCCTCCTGTTCTGACTTTTCACACCCCCCTGATCCACTATCCACACCCCCTTTGCATATTTTGTTTATTTTTCATATTTTCTTTTCATTTTTTATATTTATTGCTTTTATTTATTTTTATGAACATAAAAAAATCATGAAAAATATTTTCTTTATTTTTTGCATTTTATTTTATTTTTTATCTTATCTTTTGCATAAAATATTGATTATTTAGAATAAATAGAATATATTTTCTTAAAATAAATAGTAAACACATTTAAAAATATCATACATTTTTATTTTTATTATTCATACACATAAAATATTATTTTTATACATATTTTAATTTTTAATATTTATTAATAATATTATTTATTATTTCTTGTATAAAAATAGACAAAATAAAATAAATATAGAATATATATTTCTTTTAATCAAAAACTAGGGTTTTACCCCTTTCAAAAATAACAATATTATTTTTCTTATTTTTAGGACTTAAATAATATTATTCTCTTATACATAAAACAAATACAAAACATTTTTTTGCATATTTACATTTTTATTGCATTTTTAATATTTATTTATTTATTTAATTTGCAAATATTCAATTGGGTTGTAATAGTATTTTAGGGTTTTATTTTGTGCAAATATCCCCATTCAAAAACTTGTATCCCCCCTCCCATAATAATTGTTGTAATAGCTTAGATTTATTTTACGCAATTTATCGCATTATACCATGTTTAGTAAAAACTAAGGTTTTGCAT